AAATACGTTCTTTTTAAGGGATTCCCTGTTATACCCTAAAGTAAATTCTTAGCTTTCATTCCTTTAAAAAAAAACTCTGCCTTTTGGGAATTTAATCTCTTTAGAACAGAGGTAAGCAGCATGGTATCCTCCAGATGTTTTTTGTTTGCATAATCCAGTGCACTACAGTGGATGGCTTGGGTTTACTGAGTTGTAGTTAAAAATATTTGAAGGGCAAAGGTTTCTTGTGCTTAGCCCTGCTTAAGCACAAGAAACCACCTCTAGCAAGCAGAAATGGAGTTACACACTCCAAGCTATTGGGAAATAATAAACCATCGACCACATTTAGCCTCAGCGATTTGCTATAGAGTACAAGAGTGGGCCTCTTCTGTAGGGCAGCTTCATTTAAATAATTGATTTAAACCTGTTTTTGGCAGCTTGGCAACAGAAAGGATAATTGTGGTCTGCCTTGTGAAATTGATGCATGGTGAAGCAATTGTGTGATGGCTTTGTACTATATTAACTCTGCAGGAATCCACTGAAGCCATATTTTCAACATGCCAAATTCTGTTGTGAGGAATGGCCCTGATTTAACAGAAGAATCATGTAAAGCAGTAGTAAAATTTACATTATGTACTGTTTTTCTCTGTATCAACCTCTTTCAAAAAATAGTTTCACTTTGATTTTTAAACATACCAATATATTTTGGCTTTTATTTTCTCAAATATGCAATTATATATCTTGCTTTTTGTTCTTGTTTTTGTCTTTCCTGTTATCTTCACTGATACATCTAAACATGTCCAGCAACGCCAGGTGCAAAAATCATTAATAGTTTCAAGACACTAGAGTTTCTGCAGCTATAAGCACACCAAGGGATATGCCTTTCCATTTGGAGTTGTCTTTTTTTAAAAAAAAGATAGAAGTGACAGAATGGTTTTTTTGAGCTAGAAAACAAGCTGCAGCAGGACCAGACATCAGCTGACTGCCGGAGATCTCCATGGCAACGCCTTCCCTAGGGATGTTGCTATGTTGACAAGACAGCTTTAGAAACAGCGGTAGTGAACACGACTGTCAGGCAAGGCTAGCCCCTGGAAACGTTCCAGAGCCAATCTACCTTACAGATTTAAAATAAATAAACCTTGTCTTGTGAGGTGGGGTAGGTGCAGCAACAAATACCAACAGCCCATTTTATCTTCATCAGGCCAAACACCTGAGTTTTGTAGACGTGAACCCACCACCTTCAGCAGGGTCCATGGTTTTCATTCTTTCAATACATACACAAATATTAAAGATCCCAATATATGCCAATATCAACCAGTAACGGACAGAGCATGTGCAGATTCCAATGCAAATATTAAACTACTTGTGATAAGGTAGGCAATATAATATACTTTAAAATGCTGGTGTGAAAAAATAACATCCCTTCTGGAAAATAAAGTGAGTAACTAGACCCAAGATATTACTTAGAGTGTTGTAAACACAAATACTTTCCTCCATTTCTTCTGTACTTGGGAAAGCTTCATGGTAAGTTGCTGCTTACACAAAGTTCCACAGATACACCAGTGACCTACTGAGCTTTATATCAGGGTGATTGCTTGAAATCTGGCTGGTTTTCAACTTCGGTCTGGTGATGGGAAAGAATCTTGCACCTACAAATCTTCCTGACAAATTCAAGCAACCTTCTTCAGTGCTAAACAGGTTCCCAGTCTCTCCTTTATACAGTACAGTCGGGTCTTGACTTGAGAACTTAATCCGTATTGGAAGGCGGTTCTCACGTCAAAAAGTCTGTAAGTCAAGTCTCCATTGAGCTACAGTGCATTGAAAACCGATTAATCCCGTAACAGGCCGTTTTTGTTCCATTTTGGTTTTTTTCTGGTCTGTAAGTCAAATCTCAGTCTGCAAGTCAAACCTAAATTTTGCGGCCAGAGAAGTCTGTAACTCAAAAAGTCTGTAAGTCAAGCCATCTGTAAGTCAAGGGTCCACTGTACTTATAGCATTGAGTGGTCCTTAGGAGCATTTGGTTATGAAGAAGTGATGGCAGCTCCTCGATGAGGCTTACAGTAACTATGCTTACCACTTACTTGACAATTCCTTTGATGTTTTTGCAAACAGGTGGTAACCTAAAATTATAGCATGACAGTATTACAAAGAAAGCTTCCGTGTCCAATCTTTACCACACAGTTTCTGAACATCTGGTTTCAAGACACTGGAGACACTCACGCTTTTTTCCTACAATCTAACTGCTATTCCTTACTGCAGCAATAGTTTTGCTGTCCTGTGTGATGCAAGAGCTGACAGTTTCTAATCTCTTGGTAGCTGCTGAAGCAGTCCAGCCAAGTTTCCTTACACTGACGTGTGCACATGTGGAGGGTAAAGTAGGCAATATCAAATGTACACAAACATGGCACCAGCAATTTTTCTTAGTTAGATGTCTGATTTGTTTATTTATTTATTTACATTTTTAGAGCCCTCTTCTGCAATGTACTCAGGGAAAAACAATACAGTATTATAAAATATGACACAGAGAATGCTAAATTCAAAACTTGTGATTGGATATTATGTTTAGTTAAGTAAACTGGAAAGAAACAAAACAATGTTAAAGGTTTTCTGTTCTTCACTACTCTTTAATCTGGCAAAGATGTGTGTATGTGTAATGTGGGACCATGGAGACCTTTTACTTGGCTTAATAAAAGACATTGCCCTAAAACAAATTTTGATACCTCGCATGCACTTGGCCAACAGAACAATCTATCTTTCTGATATGAAGCAATCATGAAAACAAAGGAACTACTAGGGTTGCTCAAAAGACTGAGAAAATGTATTTTTACACTTTTTCCAGAAGCAGCAAGATGGGGGATACACTGTAATTCCAAAGGGAATACATTCCATAGTTGGGAGCGACTGGGGTGAGGATGTGCTGAGTGCTGACTGACACTTGGAGCCATGAACATCGTGTTCAGCTGCTGTTCATGCATTGGAAAAGAAAGCCAGAATACAAAAATCAAAGAACAGCTGCTAAGTGAGACAGATGGACACTTTTTGATAGAAGGTCAGAGAACTGAAGTCACCTCCTAATGTATTTTCTGCTTTCAAATAAAATGGCCATATAGTGGAAGGAATCCCTGTGTGTTTTTGGCTAAACTATTCAACTGAGCCATTCCTTCCAGTCACTTATTATAGAAGATGTAATTAAATTCCACTTGGACTGGGCTATCACAAAACATGCTGATACATTTTGTGAAACTGGCCCCAGCAGACTGCTGCTTTAAAAAAAATTTTTTTTCTAAAGGGGAGATTGTTCACATTCCTTGTAGTATTGATAGAAAGCTGAGAGAACTCAGCTATCCAGCATACCAAAAACTGGTCTTTATGTGGAACACTACCTAATGCTATGCAGACAAGGAAGGTGGTTTTAAGAGCAAAAGTCACTGCTGACTCTATGATAGAAAACCTTTTGAGATTTCTTTTGCTTCATCAAGCAACAGGATAGCCTATGGATGGTTTTATTCACAATATAGCCATGTCATTCATATGATCTCAAATGAAAACTACAAATATTTGTACACTTTCCACAAAAACTGATTCTTAAATATCTCAGAATTTATTTGCTATAGTTCCACTGGTAGAAAGCTAAGTCTGCTTAAAATCAGCAAAGCCTGGTTAAAATGTGTTAACTCTTGTTTAAATATTTGATACAACAGATAGATCTTAAGTGCCATATCACTTCCTTCCAGTGTTTTATAATCCCAAATGTTCTCACAAAATTATTATATGTCCTCACAAATATTATTATTCCCAAATTCCTTGAAGTCACGAATGCTGGGATAAAGCAGAGGTAGGGAGCTGTGGCCCACCAGATTTTGTTGGACTACAATTGTCAGCATCCTTTGCTTCTAGGTATGCTAGTGAAGCCTGATGGGAGATGAATCATGTAATATCTGGAAGCCCTTCCCATAACTGACCTCCCTGATATATTAAGAACTACACAGAAATTATCCAGCTTATATTCATAAAGCCACAGAGCTGGAAGACGACATATGTGTAATGTTCACTTGAACAGCCTCCAAGGGCAGACAATTCATTACACTATTCAGGGGAGGTGTGTGTCAGCAGTTTTTAAATCCAAGATGACAGTAATACTCACTTGAACTCTGAGAACACAAGTAACCTGCATACAGGATTGGTAAAAATAGTGAAGAAGCTAACAGTTTCCTGTCCCTTTTAATATTCCATCTACAATTGTTCCAGCTTGAGCCAAACCTCTCTTAGAAGGCAGAAAACTCCCAGCTAAGAACCAGGTTTCTGGTAATGTTCACTAAGAATAATGCTGACCTACAAAAGAAGGCAAAACTACAAATCAGCAGCCAACTAGATATGATGTAAGGAATCTATGACCAAGATGTCCCTCTTAAATAAAACACCATCAAACTAAGTTAGCATCTTCTTTAATGCAGAAAGGTGTGTGCATGTGTTAGCATGTACCATTCATGGTGATTGAAATCACACTCAAACTTCTGGAAACAATTAGTCCAGTGGTGGGAAACAAGGCACCCATGTTTCCTCCCTGCAAAAAAATAACTTAAGAGGACAAAAGGCTAAGATCAAGCCTAGGAAAACAATGAAGAAAGAAAGGGGCTATAAATATTTTCTACCTTCAAAGCAGATGTGCAGTATGGTGTTTCTAGAGGCGATGACAACATGCTGTAATAAAGGCTCTTCCATCTAGCTTGGGTCGCACACTGGCTGTGGTATTTCTATTGCTCCTGTTGACTGGACAAATACTCACAGAACAACCATGATCTCAATCCTTTAGGAGTGGAAAGAGGGGAACAATCCCCACCTATGCTTGTTGGATCTCTCTCACAGTTCAAGGTTATGAGCCAAAGTTGGGTTATCTATAGATAAGACAACCTTATACACTTCACACAACTCTGATCAGAGAACTTATTAATTAACAGAAGAGAAACTAGATTATTTGCAAGGTAGGACTTCACAGTGATAACATCAGCTCTAATACTTACATTGTACAATGGGATCATTTTCATCACTTTGTAGTGCTTTGTAGGGTCCATCTTATACAGATGCCTGTCAGTGATAAAAATTGCTCGATCTTCCACTTTGTTGAAGCGATTTATCTGCAAACAATAAAATCCCCATTTGTATTAAAAGCCACTCCCTCTTAAAAACAAAACAAAAACAACAAGTCACACACTTTGAAAACATCTGACAGTAGAATTAATGTGTTTTGCTGGGGTGTGATATCCAATCCTCAGCTGTAACTTTAGAACAACAACCCTAATGCAGCTTGCATCTTTCTTGACCTGCATGTAAGAAAGATGTGCCTGGTGAAATCTATTTTGTCAAGAACGTTTGGACTTTACATCTAAGAGTAACACTTCTGGCAAAACCCATCTTGCCATAAACTTTTGGAATTTTAGGTTGTTCACACTGGTATATGCTTGATGAAGTGAATGGTCCTGATCCACAACAGCTAGCAGATTGTATGACAATTTTTTCCAGTGGTCTATAAAGGTATCCTCCTTCATGGAGAGGCTATGGGCTATGCCGTGCAGGGACACCCAAGAGAGACAGGTCATAGTGGAGAGTTCCGACTAAACACAATCGACCTGGAGTAGGAATTGGCAAGCCACTCCTGTATCTTTGCCAAGAATACCCCATGAACAGAAACAAAAGACTAAAAGATAGGACAATGGAATATGGGACCCTCAGTTCGGAAGGCGTACAACTTGCTACTGAGGAAGAGTGGAGGACAAGCACCAGTAGCTCCAGAGCTAATGAAGTGGTTGGGCCAAAACCGAAAGGAAGCTCAGCTGTGGACGTGCCTGGAAGTGAAAGGTAAGTCTGATGCTGCAAAGAAAAATACTGCATAGGAACCTTGGTAAGCTGGATGTGGTCAAACAGGAGATGGCAAGAA